AGGCAGACCGAAAGGGCCTGTTTCCTGACTGTTAAAGGGAAGCAGGAAAACTTGTTATGAATTGGCGCTATACAAATAATGATTGATTGATATTATTTTAGATAAAGCTATGCACAGGACAGGATCACCTAAGACATACATTTATTACTTTATCCAAAGGAGCCGCCACCCACTTTAAACCTGCTAAACCTTAGCATGTTAGCATTCACATTGTGAGAATGTTAGCGTGCCATTGTTTTCATCGAGCTAAAAGCCTCACTCGGGGGCTGTTTGTGCTGGAGTTTTGTCAAATAAATATTGAGATGCTACATATAATGGCGATTGGCCATCAAACAGTGATTTGATGGAATTGTTCCTTAAATTACAAAGCACTTTCTTGACACTACCCAAGTGTTACACAGAGACAACCTTTAAAATGCTTAAAAACTCTCTATTCAGTTCTTTTTGCTAAACCAAGATTTCTAGCTTTGTTCAAAATACTCCTCACTTATAAATCCCTCCATGCCCTAGCCCCTAAGTACCACTCCAACCTCCTACACAGCTATACCCCACGTCCTGAAACCTCCGGTCCTCGAACACTGGCCCGCTGTCCATACCACACAGCAGACTCTGCCCCTTTGAAGACAGGACCTTCAGTGTAACAGCCCCCACCCTCTAGAACACCCTACCCTCAGACATCAACAATGCCCCGTCTTTGGATTCATTCATAAAACTGCTCGAACACCATCTGTACTCCACAGCCTACAACCTCAACTCTGCCTCTCCACAGGTCTCCCATCCTTTGCTACCTTTTGTTTAGTTCTTTGTCTGGTCCCTCCACCATTTAACCATGGGTCCCTTGCAAGGCGCAATATAAACTAAATACATTATAGTCCAATGTATAAGAACTTGCTCCAATGTTATTAAAGATATGGCTTACAAATTAGACGATCAATTATCACCTCGGCTTTTTCCTTGTTTCTCTTAATGGCTACTCCATTCAGGTAAAACAGGTCAGTTCATAAGGCTGATCATCTACACCAGTCTGACCCTCCTGACCCTGCAGTGCTTTATGCAGATCCCCTTTGCCTACATACCACCACAAGGTAATAAAGCATTTGTAGTTTCTTTAAAATTACAAGCAGTTTTTGTGAGCTTAAATATCAGCAGATCACTATTACAATTCACAATTTATAACAAACATGTTTTGACCTATAATTTATGAAACATTTAGGAACTTAGGATAAAACTTGTGCCCAGCTTAACGACCATGTTTTTTTAAATTACAGTGAGTGGCGTCTGGGAAGATTTCCTGTACCACTTGGGCATTATAAGGTAAGAGCTAAAATGCTAATATTCGGAGTCATATATTTAACTTTAATATTTAAGGAGGCTGGACATTTTTGTCTTAAAAGGAGATCAGCGGAAATCAAACCAAAGAATGTTCATGTGTTTTCAGGTTCAGCTCAGTTGACCCTGGGAATGTGGTGCGTCTCCTGGCCCCAGATGTTGTCCTTTTGTTCGCTTCCCTTTTTGTACTGAGGTTGTGCAAAAAACTACTCCGCGCAGTGCCACAAGTCAGTCTCCATGAAAACGGCATACAGCCGTCGGACCCTGAGGTATCACATCAACTGTTATAAACTACTTCACGGTAAGAAAGTAAAATGTTCCCAATCTGATTGTTTAATGGATCTGACAGGAAGTGGAAACAACTGAAACAGAGTCTGAAGAAGAAAGTGAAACCGAGGGTTCATCCTTTGACAGCTCAGATGAGACTACTATACCGGTTCAGACAGGTCCCCCCCAGTTTGTCCAGAAGCTGATCGTGTTTGCAGCCGGACTGAGGCTGCTGCTGTCTGCAATCATGAACACAGGAGGGAAAGTGGTGGTAACTCTGCTGCTGGGACTAGCAGGTAAAAAATACATAAGTTTGTGTGAGAATGCAGGTAAATTCAATAATTTATAATGCCAATTCAACAATTTATTCAATGTCTTTCTTTCCTTTCTTTGTTTTCTGGCTTGGGCGCGTGTGCATGTAGGTATCATGCTGCCCTCCCTCACCTCAGGTGTATATTTTGGGGTGTTTCTTGGGCTAGTTTGGTGGTGGGTTTTTAGTCGCTCCATCAGCTTGCTGCTCTTCAGCTCTCTCTGCGTGATGATGGCCATCTTCAGCGGAGGACACCTGCTGGCTCTTTACCTCTACCAGCTGCCCCTGTCCCAGCAGCTTGTGCCACCAGAGGATGTCTATGCCAGGTATATAAGTAATTACAAAGTACAATTAGACAGTTTTATACCAGCATATTCTGGTGCTTTCATCATATGAAGAGTACCAGATATGTCATGTTAGTTTCAGCCATGACCCTTATTATAGTGGGTTTATGACTTTTGGACTCAGCTTATATATCATTCCTTTCAACAACCTTTTTTCCCAGAAAGTTGGGATGTTGTGTAAAATGTAAAAATCAACTGAATGTGATGCTTTCCAAACATTGACACCACATACAGTATATGAATGAAAATAGCACAGAAACATCATGTTAAATGTTGAAGCTATTTCATTGTTTTTGGAAAACTATATGCACAATGTGGTGGATGTGACTCATCATCTAGAGGGTCGGGGGTTCAATCCCCAGCTCCTGCAAACACATGGCGAAGTGTCCATGTGCACTGAACCCTGAAATGGGGTGCTGCTCCACCCGCGGCTTCTGAATGTGTGTGAATTGATCGTGCAGTTGGGTGTTTGGACACTTTAAGTAGCAGCTTCTGACATCAGCGTGTGAATGTGTGAATATAGCATGTAGTGTAGAAGCACTTTAAATAGATGGAGACTACAAAAGCGTTATGCAAGTTCAAGTCCATTTACCAGTTGGATTTTGATGCCGACACCATGTTTAAAAAAAGTTGGGACAATGGCAACCAAAGTCTGAAAAAGTCCTTTTTACATCAGAAAGATGCAGCCTCTCTAGGATGCTGTTGTTTTACCCATCATGTTACTGACCTGTTGCCAGTTAACCTTATAAACTGCAAATCATCACCTTCCAGTTTTATTTACATTTTACTCGACGTCACTACTTTTTATAAATTGTGTTTTACTTCAATTCTAATGAAGCTTCACTTCTCCCCCCTCTCTTCCTGTCCCAGGTTGTTTGGCATGACAGGAGTGATAAGAACAAACAGCTCGGACCCGTACATTCTTGGTCTGCACCCACATGTCAGCTGGCCTGACTTTATCAACCCTTTGGTTTTACTACTGCTTTACTACACACTGTTGGCTCTGCTGCACAAATGGGTCCACACATCTGAGGAGGTTTGTATGAGCATATTTGCGCACTTGTCAGAGAAATGATGTATGTCACAGATACAACAGTATATTAACGTTTTAGACAATATCTACTTACATGACAGGCAGTTAAAAGCATAATTGTTGCAGGATACTGTTGAGGGTGAAGAGTGTGAGAGTCCGTTAGAAAGTCCAGAAGTTCCTCCAAGCTTTTCCAGGGTCATCTACATCACAGGAGATAAGCAAGAGGTAACCTATAGACATGGATATGCCTCTCTTGAATTGTACTTCTTGGAATATTATTAATGTCATCAGTGCAAAGGTTCTACTGTTCTGCTCTTTGTTAGTTTTCCTGGATAAAACAATCATATAAACAACTGCAAACATCATTTATTGTTTTGCTTTTTAGTCTACACAACTCAAAGCATTTTAAATCTGTGTCAATCTAAGATTCTCTTTATTGTCAGCTTTTAAGCAGCACAGATGATGAAACCTATCTCCCTGATGAGGTGAGTCATTTTATTGCTCAATAAAAACCCTTTGAAGTCAAGACGAATCATGCATTGTATAGTCTAAATACTTGTTTAAATGTACAGTATGATGTGCTTTCTTTCCCTAGCCAATGATTTTAATGACAGAGAGTTCTTGGCAAGATGACCTGGGATCTCAGTTAGGAGAGGCAGGGTACAAAAACTGTTATCTGCCACCACAGTATGACGGCAAAGACTCCCCATCACATGGTAATCATTACACTCAAATATTATGACCATGGCCACTACATTAACTTCTTTCTTTTGAATTTATCTGATTTATTTGTATGTCTGATTATCCTGAATCCTCAGGAACACACATATTTTACTAAATATTTTAATTTAACCCTTACATCTTCTCTCTCTTGTACTAGAGACAGAAGCCGAGGAAGGAATGGGTGAAAAGTCTGAAGAGACAATGCCAACGGAGACCTCACCTCCACCCTCAGGCCCAAGTGGCCTGGTCATCTTTGGACAGCTAGTGCAGAAACACAGCTATGTCAGCGCCCTCATCATCATGATGGTAAACATTGTTAACATTAGATTCTGAAGGTTTTGAATGGTATGATACCGATATAAGTCTTTTAGCATTCATGCTGAATATGAATCATGCAGCTAGAGAAGAAATGAATGGGAAAAATTGTTCTGGTTTAGGTCAGGATAGTTATTTTACAAGAAAAGTATTCTATTCCAGAAAAGTAGATTGCTAAATTAATTAAATAAAAATGATCACATCAATTAAAAATAATGATAAAGTAATTTCTTTCAAAATATGTCCTTTATTAGAAATAATCTGTTTCAGTCAAATAAAAGAGAAACAAGCCAATTTCAACAGCTCGGAAGTGATGAACTGTCATGAAGCACTCAGTAAAGGTTAGCTAGCTAGTCAAGATATCTAGGCTAACTAGGTAGCATTAGCAGTGAAAGGGTATTAGCATAACCAACATTTACTAACTGGACTTTTATAAACAATTTAATACTATGTTTTACTTGACATGTTGTTTGCTAGTTTAGCTGACCAACTGACACTGCCTAAAATAAAATAATATTTTCATTATTACTGTGACTTTAATGCAAAAACATCAGAAGAAGAACTTATTGGCCGCAATGTTGCGATAATATCTAAAAAAAACTATGTTTATTAGGTGTGGAGTATCACTTACAACAACTGGTTGACCTTTGCCCTCCTGGTGTGGTCCTGTATCATTTGGATGATGCGAGACCGACGTCGTTACGCCATGATGTCCGCCCCTTTCTTGGCCATCTATGGCACCGTCCTGGTGGTGCTGGGCTACCTGAGTGGGCTCCGTCTGAGCCGAGCCGAGCTGTATCCTGGTCTCCCCCCGGCTGTGATAATGGACTTCGACCTGTCCAGCTATCACCCAGCGCCCTGTGTTCACCTGGGAGCAAAGGTTAGGTGGGGAAAAGGGGGTAGGCTAGCAAGTGCTATGAATTGTATTTTAAGTCAAAACCATGGTGACTAATTACCAAAAAACAAAGACGAAGAATGTGCACGTTCATAGTGTTTAAATAGTTTATATTCATTCAACTGTTTGACATTTTGAGATCATGTCTGGACAGTATTTTTTTTTTGCATCATGGTCAAAAATTTGCAGGAAGTGTGGAAGAAAGTAACAAAAAATTTAGGCTGCAAGGATTGTTCTACATTTTCAAATGTTAGTGTGATCATGTAGGTCTATGATCTTCTTCAGTTATAGCCTATTTTCATGTATCTGATTTTATTTCCCCCCCCAAACCACAAACACAGATCAAAGTCTAAATCTGTGCATAACTTGATATTTATGCAATCAAATCTTTTGTTAGCCTTGCTCACTATTAGCTGTTTTGTTGTTCAGTTAAACTTTGTTGACTATTGCGTGTGTGATGATAATGCTGATAATACACGATGTGTGTGTGTTGCAGGTCTTCTATACCTTCAGCTTTTGGTTGATGTTTCGTCAGCAGCTGAAGGAGAGACTGGAGGAGCAGAGTTTAAAAAAAGCGGAATCCCTGGATGAAGTCAAAACTGTGTCAAGTAAGTCATTTGGAAATGCTTCATTACAGATTACAATGTAAGATCCCTAGTCAATGAAAATCCTCCTGACAGGAAGATAAGCTATGATTCACTTTACTTGATGACAAGTAAAAAAAAAATGCTCCCTGCTCTCCATTAATACCCCTTCCTGGCCTTCTCCTCCTTATCTTTCTCCTCTTGGTGTGCCCCATAGCAGCGGAGGAAAGTCAGCCATCACCCCTGGTAGCGATGTTGATCTCAGGAGTGAAAGGCTTGCTGGTGAAATACTGGATCCTATTCTGCTGCTCCATGTTCTTTGTTATCAGCTTCTCTGGAAAGGTGCAGTAGACGGACTAAAAAGCACAGCATGGAAGAATCCCCATACTTGACATTTTTTAAATCACACTTTCTCATCCTGCCACGTCATCTATAGGCTGTACTCTGGAGAAAGTTCCAAAACAATAATTAAAGCTTGATCTGGAGTGTGGAAATTACACTGAATTTAACTGATATAGAAATAGCATTATAAGCTACCTGCCTGAATGATTCACCTTCAGGTCAAATGTGAAGTTAATGGTTTGGATCTAAATCTTCCACATAATCATCACATTTTTATCCTTGGCTGTGAACACCCGCATTTTCTAAAGGGGTTATTACCCATTTCCTTTAATTCAATAAATCAACATTCCACGTAGTACGTTGTGAACTTACAATGTCAAAACCTATCAGAAAAAATTTCAAAACTGTTTGGGAAGACTGTAGTACTGTAATCCATTAACTGATTTTCTAAACCTAAAGCAGATAAAAAGTAACCATCAAGTTGACACAGACTTCATTGTGTTTCTCTTGTGAAGGTGGTGGTCTACAAGATCCTCTACATTGTCCTTTTCCTCTACTGTGTTGTCCTCTACCAGGTTAGTGATTTTCTACAAGGTTAGATGGTAACTTTTCTACTAGGTTAGTAGTCATCTCTTTAAAAACTGATATGAAAACATTCAGTGTGTTTGTCCTCTGAAGTAGATAATGGACCTCAGTTTAGATTGGATTAGATGTTTATTGTCATTTGACTTTTTGTGCATTTCTCCTCGAGTCAGCTCTACAAAAATGTAAAAGATACAATTTTAATTACAATAAGTACAAAAGAAATATACACTGTACAAAAAAACATCAGTTTCTTTAGACGAGTATTCCCTTCTCCAGTGAAGCGGTAACTTAAAAGCCACATTGCACTGCTTTGACTACTATGTATACATTTATTCTCAGCATGTGTAATGTTCACATTGTAAAGAATATAAAGGATGAAAACTGGTATTGATCTTGTAGGGCTTAATGAGTGCAGGAAGAAAATGTCCGTTAATAGTTCAGATGTTACATATTACAAAAAGCCACTCTAGGTTCATCTTACATTATAATGTGTTGACACCTAAATGATCCTTAGTAATTCCGATCTAATCCAGCTCTTACACAAACTCTGGGAATGCACACATTAAAAGTCCATGTGCTGCTCATTGATACATTTTACCGCTAAAAGTATTGATTATGAGTCATAAACACACACACAGCCATTTTTTTGTTGCTGTTTTCCTCTCTTTTCTAGTCCTTCATGTTTCTGCTGACCTTTTAGAAACACAGCAGGCACTTACAGGAAGGCCTAATGGCTGTGGAGGTGACGGAATACAAAGCAACACCATTTATCTTTTTAGATAACATCAGCAACATCCTAGTGTTTTACATGCTGCAGTGTGTTAGAATAGATTTCTAATAACCCTGTTATCAATGATGTTTATTTAGCTTTGCTAACTTGTTCAAAAGACAGAGCTTTCAAGGTAAACAGATACACTGTACTCGCATTGATAAACCAAAAAGTTCTTAAAAATGCAAGAAAAAAAGAAACATTGTCGGGGTATTATAATAAAAACTTTTTTCTAAAGACAATTAATGGTGTTAAAAACTGTAGCTTGTGTTGGTCTTTCCTCAGATCCGTTATGATGTGTGGCGTCGTCTCCTGAAGACATTCTGGGCGGTCGTGGTTGGTTACTCCATGGTCGTATTGATAGCCATCTACATGTACCAGTTCAGAAGTGTGTCCAGTCTGTTCAAACAGATCATGGGCATGTCAGAGGAGGGGTAAGTTCACATATATCGGCCTAAGTTCATGATACTCTTTTTTTGTCCTTACACTGAAGCAAAAAACAAATTGTATTGGATTTAATGCAGAATGGAATCATACAGGCCCTTTTCTTTTTCAGTCTGCGTGACCTGGGTTTAGAGCGCTACGACACAGTGGAGCTGTTTGCACGTATCCTGCTTCCTGCTGCATTTCTATTGGCTTGTATCCTCCAGTTGCACTACTTCAACTCTGACTTCCTGAATCTCACTGACCTCGATAACGTACCTGTCAGACAGGCTTCCAGGTGAGGCTTTAAGAATGTGTGCATGCACCATAAGAATATCTACACACACACATACTGTATATTTAACTACAACTACTTGTAGTAACGGATATGTACTTTTCCTATTTAACATGACAAACTATCTAAGGGCAAACTGTGTATGGAAATGACAAGGGGCTTTCTATAATTAGCAAGTACAAGTAAAATAATTATTTAAAGTGCAAATTATTGATGATAGTTTTATTGTATGAAAATTACTCTATGGGGTTGCAGTAGCACAGTCTGCATGGCCCTGGGTTGGGAACCAGAGTGTCACTGGCCCAGGTCCCGGCCAAGACTGGGAGATAGGACTGGTTGCTGGAGTGGTGCCAGTTCACTTCTGTGGCACTGCAAAGGTGGTCATTACAGTTGCTCTAAACACAATATAGCAGTAGTGTTGCAAATAAACATTCATTATTAGTCAACAAGCAGAGCTGTGCTTACAACCAATGATGTCATTTGATTTCTACTTGGGTTTGCAAGCAGTGGAAAAAGCAAGCAGTATTTATTGAAAATGTTTCACAATTAGCATTTTTACCCCAATGTATTTATTATTGCTATCCTACTTTTTCTCTGTTTCCTGTTTAATTTATTCAAACACTTCTTAAGAGAAAACTTTATGAGATTGATTTTCATAACATACTACAAACAAAAGCATACCTTAATCTTGTGTTCATCTCACAGACCCAGGAGAACCAGTCCTTCATTTTGTTTTTGGGAGACCACACATATATGTTCATCAACTTCCTGCTGCATTTACCTGCAGACACAGCTAGCTGGCACTGCTACGCATCAACAGAGCGTCTTTTTGGTTCAACAGTGCTGCTGTTGAACTTTATCTACATACTGAGTTATGTTAACGAGTCATTCAACTTATGACAGAGTGTGGGGAGCGAGCGATCAACACAGAACATTATAGTGATGATGCAGCACCTCTCTATGGCTGTGGACAACTGCATAGATTGTTTATGTCAGTGTCTGGCCCTGCATACTGATGTTGTGTGAATACTTTTCAAACGATGTTCTTAATTTCCAAACACATTACTTATGTACGTTATTGTCTTTTTGTCTGATACATCCTCTTCTCCCTCCAGAGAGGAAGAGCTCAGGAGTTCAGTCGATGTGATATCTGAGATGTAAGAGCTGCATTTATTCCTCCATACATGTTTTGTTGCTCGTACATTTTAATTTGTGTTGAGACCATGTCACACTCTAATGTATCTGAACTTATTACCTGTTAGTGTAATCTTCTAAAACCAAAAGGAGGTAGACACACCTGGTGTAGATGTGTTATTTGTCTTTTCAAAACAACAAAGTTATTGAAATTATTATCTGTTAAGTATATGATAGAGGTGATGGTGACTTGATCATGATTAGATACATATTGACATTTTCATGTTCTCTAATTAAATTCCCAGAATTAAAGAAAACCTTGAAAAAATCCAGAAAAGGTAAGACTGTTGCTACAATCTTAATGCTTCGACTTACAATGGTGGGATAAATGTTGAAAATGAAAATGGTAAATAAAGGGTGAAATTGCTCTGTAGCTTGAAACAGAACTGACTATTATGTCTTTTTTTATTATTTAGTAATTTAAAATAATAATTCATGTTGTCCTCCAGGCTGGTGAAGGAGCAGATGGGGAATGGGAAAAGCCAGGAGACTCTGGACAGCGTTGGGCTCCAATCCTCCCAGGACAAAGGAGCTGAGGCACAGGAGGACACGACAGGGGAGGGTAACTACGTCTGAAAACCAAAGATGGATACTTTGTGTCAATTTGTTGATCCAATTACGAGAATGAATAATGGGCTTGGGCATGACTTTAAGATGGGCTGAAAGACGTATGTACACATTAGTTTTTGTGTAATCATGCTGAAGAGTTTGTTTGGATGTACTTTATTTTTAAATCCTGCTTCTTTGAATTCTTCCTGTGTTACATTCAAAAAGAACATTCTTGTGTTGTGTTTGTAATGTCGCGTATACGATCAGCTCTCCAATGATTTCTGTCCTAAGCTGTATGACACCTGTAGTGGTAATATAATGATTAAATTAAGAGGTGCGGATAGCCTGGTGGTTATGTCACAGGCCCCATGTACGGAGGCTATAGTCCTCATTGCAGCGTCCATAGGTTCAAATCCAACCTCTGCCCTCTCCTGCATGTCACCCCACACTCTCTCCTTCCAACATTTCCTGTCTCTCTTCAGCTGTCCTGTCCAATAAAGGCACAAAGGCCCCAGAAATATACTTTTAATCATATTCAAATTAAGTCTAATGCTCTTTCCTGTCCCTGATACGTCTCTTCCTTTAGAGCCTGTCCACAGCAGCCGTGAGGACAAGTGGATTGTGATTGTGGATCGGGCGAGCCTGCTGCTCATTCACGTACTGTCAGGACTCAACAAGCTGCAGGAGCAGAGCTGGAGACTGCTGGAGCTGCACAGCCTGAAAATTGTTTCCACTGGCATCATCTGGGTGTCCCTGCAAGAGGTAGGATGTTTTATCAGTGCATACTGTATGTTGTGTGTGTATGTGTGCAAGGTGATGTGTGTGAAAATGTGTAGGTATGTGCATGTTAAAAACAGAAAAAAAAACAACAACAAAAAAACACTGGATATTTCTTTATACTGTGCTTGTTTGGTGTAAAACATTCTCTACACATTTGAGGTGAAAACTGATTTTTTAGTCATGAAAATGAAAAAAGTAATGATTCACATTTAACAGGTATCACTGATGAACTTGCTCTTCCTGGTCCTGTGGGTTTTTGCACTTCCTTTCCCACGGTTACGACCTCTGGCCTCTAGCATCTCTGCCGTGTGGGCTTGCGTCATGGTGGTGTGCAAGATGTTTTACCAGCTGAAAGTCATCAAACCCCTCGATTATTCCTCCAACTGCACATCTGTGAGTATCCATCGCTTTGTGTATTTGTGACAGTTATCTTCAACTCAATACTTTTGTGAGCAAGCTGACAAAAAGTTTCTCTTCTACATTTCTCTTGTGTTTCCTTATCAAATACCATTTGCTCCCCTCATCATCTTCTTTCTTACTTCAATGCAATCTTTTGTTTCATGACAAGAACAAACTTCTTACACTCATCTCTCATTTCTGTCTTAGGGTTTAGTGCCTTTTAACAGCACAGGTTTGGATGATGGAGAAGAGCTGAGAGGGAACATGATGGAGCTGCTCAGGAGATCTATCCTCTACATGGAGCCGGTAGACCCCGTCTACTGGTGTGGAGCGCTTCGTAAATGTGAGGGCAGGATCCTCCCATGTCTCAGGGTATGGTCTGAAACTTGATATCTTTGATATATCTTTTAAATCACGACGACCAGCCCCACCTCTTCTTAGAGGAATATCAAATATACTTAGCCAGCTTAATGCTCTTAAGCTCTTTTTATTAAGCTTAAACTACATTATATAAAAAAACACGGTCTCATCTTCTCCTCACAATGCTAAATTGATTACATATATCTGGCACCCTATCTGCTACTGTGTGGTTTCTTGCCTGCTTTAAGTAAGAAAGAGGTGCTGAACAGATTCCCAAACTTCAAGATTGCCAACTTTTATTTGAATTTGAGATTTCATCCAAGAGTTTGAATTGATTTTGATGGCTCTGGCAATCATCCCACAGTCCCTCCTTGTTTTCTCTAAAGAGTGTTCTTGGTTACAGAACCACCTGATGGTGCTGGGGCTGCTGGTTTTCGAAGCGACCGTCCAGCGGCACCAGCTCTACTTCCGTCTCAATAACGACCTCAAACCCCCACCCTTCAGCATCATTTTCCAGGGCATCACAAGGCAGCACCTAGACCATGGCATCCTGCCCTGCATCAAGTACTTCATCAACTACTGCTTCTACAAGTTTGGTCTGGAGGTACTGTGAGGGTCTTTATTGTGTATTTCATTATCTGATGTCTGAGCCTTTTGATGTATCTGACATTGTATTGGTGACACACACTTTATTCTCAGATCAGTTTAATTGTGGCAGTGAATGTGATTGGTCAGAGGATGGATTTCTATGCCCTGCTCCATTCCTGCGCTTTAATGGCTGTGCTGTCACGGCGACGCAGGAAGGCTATCGGGGAGGTGTGGCCTAAATACTGCTGCTTCACTGCAGGACTTATGGTGCTGCAGTACCTGCTCTGCATTGGCATCCCTCCTGCTTTCTGTGTTGGTATGGATTTTATAAAACTGTTTGAAACATTTGTATAATATATATGTATTTATTTTTTTGAAGATTTATTTTGGGGCTTTTAATGCCTTTATTCTAGAGATTGGACATTTGATAGTCAGAAACCGTGGATAGAGAAAGCAGGGAACGACATGCGAGGAAGGAGTCCCAGGTTGGATTCAAACCCTGGCCGCTCGCTCTCGAGGACTAAGACTCTGTACATACTGAGTGCTAGGCTACCTGCACACCATATTTATGTATTTTTGATTCCTGTACATTTACTTAATCACTTTTTATTAAAGCTAACTGTGTGGTATGTCCACTAACCATGAATGTATCCAACATAAATACTATTAACACAAAGTGATGCTTTTTCATTTTGCTTTCACCACAAAAGTTATTTGCAAGCAAGAAACTGAGTAGCATGGGTTTTCTTTAAAGATATCTTATAGTTTTACCTTTCAAGACAAAAAAAGAAACAATAACATTAATGACCTTATTTTAAACATAGGCACACAGAAAAAAAGAAAATACCTGCATCCAAAGCTCCCTCATGATGTAGAACTCAATAAGCACATAGCATAAAAAGGATGGTGAGGAGAGGAAAAAAACAGGGGAGTTAACAAGAATAAAAGTAAAATAAAAATGAAAAAAATAAATATAAGAAGAAGAATAAATTGCAAAAGAATTACAAATGAAATATGTATATGACCAAGAGTTCAGGTAGTAAAGTGTGACAGTTGATAAAGGGTTGAATAACGGTTGAGCCTCTTTAAGAATGTCTGCCCAAATAAGTCCATTGATGTTTTAAAAATTTAAGATAATTTTTTTGTCTGAAAGAATACGATCAGTTTATAAATATATAACAAAAGTTTTTGTCATGAGTTGCTCGTCTGTTATCCAGTAGTCAGGATGCAACATATTGATAATTATCAACATATGTTCTGCTTCCCTTTTGTTAATTAACCAGTGATTTGTCAACACAATTAAACGCTGCATGTTCTGTTCATCAACAGCATCGTATTCTTTTAAACTGTCTGGTCATTGTTTTATCAGATTACCCCTGGAGGACTGCTGTTCAGCCTTTGACCTCCAATGTTATCAAGTGGTTTTACCTGCCTGACTTTGCCATGAGTCCCAACCCTTTGTTCATATTCTGTGAGTTCATCTTCACTCTCCTCACATCTATCATGTCCTTTGAACCAATCCCTCCTACTGTAAGATGTTAACCCTCCCCACGTCTTCTGCTCTCTGTAGATGACCACCTCCTGTTGCTGTGCTCGTCTCTGCAGTGGCACATGTTTGAGGAGGAGAACCGTGCAGCTGTGCGGCTGCTGGCTGGAGACAATGTTGAGATCAGTCGGAGTCTGGATCCTTGTTCCTTCAACCAGTACATACCTGTTGACAACTTCCTTCACTGCAGGTCAGAATATCCAACTTTTCTAAGTTTGAATGATGATTTAATTGATCCCCACCTTAAATCTGACTCATCCTGAAAAGTATATAGACACAAGATAAAAGCAGACAAATAGCCCAAAGTTGGTGATGGAGCATTGGGTTAATCTCTTCCCACTCTGTAGGTTAATCTGAGTGCTGAGAATCAGGACCTCATCACGCTGGTTTGTGGTCATTATAGGAGCATTAAAGGGTTGAGTTACATCACTCATGTATGTGTTTTGTCAATGTAATAAAAGCTGTTCTGGTAAAGAGAAAATGCTGTAGAAGCAATATCGGACATCGCCCATTTCCTTGAGAGGCTGGTGCAATCTTTTGTGCTCTTCATCAGAGTCTTCCTCAGATTAACCATCACGCTGGTTTAGAAAAGAAATGATAGAAAATAACATGAAGTGAAAGCCATTCGGTATATAATAATATATGGTCATGTTATAGAGTTAATGATAGAGAAAACACGCTCAACTCCCTTTCAACGTAAAACAACTGAGTGCTGAATCCCGTAAAGTGTTCAAACAACAAAAACAATTCGGACAGCACTCCAAAATTTTAATTTAAATTGCCACATGAACGTTTCGAGCAGACGCTGTTCTTCAGCATGAGACAGGGAATTTTCTCAAACATACACAGGTGGGACTAATTTATACTAAATAGGTATTAGTCCATCCCAGCAGAGCGAGTCTCCACCGTACATCTTTCAACACCAAAGCAGTCAATGAGCTTTTTCTTGTTTAAATATATAAAAATAATAATAATAATAATAAAGTTTATTTATAAAGCACTTATCAAAACAAACGTCACAAAGTGCTTTACAGAATAAAATCCCAACAGTAAAATACACATCAACAAAATTCTATTAAAAGCATAAAAATAAAACAACAACGTAGCAATCACCCAATTAACAGAATAAAATAAAAACTAACTAAAGTTAACAGTAAAACAAATACAACATCATGGCTGAAACACAGAAGAACAAGGCTTTTCATTAAAAATGTGTTTTTAAAATTGATTTAAAAGAAGATACTTATAGTGTTAACTATAATATTTTCCTCAACCTCACTTAGCTGTGCTATTGTAACATGTACTCTGGGTCTTATTCACAAAAACGAATGAATGAACAGCTCAGTAATAATCAGTAGACAAAATACTTTGTTAAATCTATAATGTTGGTAGTTCATGTCGCTTTAGAAGCTGTCTCTTGGGATTTGGTTACAAGAAGTGAAGTTTTCATCTGCTCTTGCTGCTTGATGTTTTTATGCTTCTTTTGCTTATGAGTAAAAGTATACTCATAAGTATTCATTACTTTTAAAGCACAGACGGGGCTGGCTCCAAGCTATATAGCAGAGCTACTGACCCCATATCAGCCAATGAGTCTTAGATCCTCAGGTGGGGGGCCTCCTGGTCATTCCAAAGTCGAGACTTAAAACTAAAGGTGACCGGGCCTTTTCAGTCAGGGCCCCTCGACTTTGGAACGACCTCCCTGAGGAGATAAGACTTGCAGATTCCCTCAATTCTTTTAAATCCCTTCTTAAAACGTACTTTTACAGACTTGCTTTTATGTGATGTCATCTTCTTAATGTCTTTTCTTACTGGTTTTACTATTTTTATCTTCTTTTACTTCTTACTGTTCTTTTATTTATGCTCTTATCTCGTATTTATGCTCACATCTTAAACCCTCTTATCTTTTAAGTTGGTCATTTTTTATCTTACTTACTTTGTCTATTGATGTTTTATATGTATATTTACTTTTTATTTTTATCATATTATAGTTTTTGTTTTTTTTGATCCTTTAACCACTTGTTTCTATTTCTTTTACTGCTCTTACATTCTTATTGCTGTTCTCTTTTGATTTGCTTTGAGCTCTTTTAGTTTCTTACATCTTTTTAAATCTTTGCTCCTCTTGGTCTCAGCTCGTGTTGTTGGGTTCTTGTGTTTCCTGGGTTCTTATCATGGTTCTTGTGATGGTTGGGTTATATATGTCTCTTGGGTATCGTGCACTATGGGTTCTTTTCTGTTATTCTTAGTATTTTGCGTTTGTTATGTTCTTGCTGTTGTTTATGTTCTTCTGTGTTTGGTTTAGTTCTTGTTTTTGCTGTTTGTCAAAGCACTTTGTAAACCTGTGCTTTTAAAAGGTGCTATAGAAATAAAGTTATTATTATTATCATTATTATCATAAAAGTGTCCTTCTCTGTCTGATGCAGGTCCTACCTCGACATGGTGAAGGTGTTTGTGTTCAGCTATTTCTTTTGGCTGGTGCTGTGCCTCATCTTCATCACTGGCACTACGCGGATCAACATCTTCTGCCTGGGCTACCTGGTGGCTTGTTTCTACTTCATGCTGTTTGGTGGCAGCGTGTTGATGCAGCCGGTCAGATACATCTTGAGACTTTGGGACTGGCTCATTGGGTACACCTGCTTTGTGATCACCATGAAGAACCTGCTTTCTGTGAGTTAGCAAAGGAGACACTCAGGAGTTTGATCTTTTATGACACACTCTGTTTTATATATTCACCTTTGGTCTGTGAGTTGTAACTTTTTTCTTCCATTCTTGTATTTTTTGTGGTCAGCTCGGATCTTGTGCCTACCTGGGCAGCTTGCTGAAGAATGGCTGCTGGTTAATTCAGGCCTTCAGTATGTTCTGCACTATCAAAGGCTACGATGTCCGTAAGTATCCATCAATGACATCCAAAAAGTGTGTGTGTGTTAGTAATAAGTATAGAATGTGGAAAGTAGGACTTTTTTTTATCTTAAAGCACTTCAGTGCATGATCTGAGAGTATTGATAAAACCAGTGTTTTTGTCAAAAAGACCATCTCCTTTTTTTTTTTTTAGCTGAGCCTGACGATAAGTGTGAGCTGCCTGAGGGCGAGGCCGGCATCGTCTGGGATGCGATCTGTTTCACTGTTCTCCTGGCACAGAGGAGGGTCTTCCTTAGCTACTACTTCCTCTACATAGTGTCTGACCTCAAGTCCTCTAAGATATTGGCCTCCAGGTCTGTACTGCACACGATTTCAACCTGCATTTTGTTGGATAAATGACAGCCTCCTTCGAATGTTTTTTTTCCTTTATGGGGAAAAATTAATCAAAATTTCTTTAGATGAATTTGCATGCAATCAACACTGTTCAAGAGAGTTTTTATATTTCTCTTTTGATTAGTAAATGCTGATATTTTATGAGAATAAACATTTAATTTGATTCTTAATTTAAGGGATCTCACGATTTAGTATAAAGACAAGCTCCATTTAAAACACAGAGAACATTAAAATCAATGTCATCTTTATCCTATTTTTGCCATACACAATGGACATACTTATATTTTTTCTCCAAACAACGGTGCAAGCTGTAAAAGTATAAAAAGATTTAAAAAATACACAAATAAAAATTCAAAGGATAAAATGCAGATATAACACAACATTACTTAATATTTAACAGAAACTTTTATTATTCAGTTTAAAGTTTAAAATGAAAGATCTTGGCATCTCCAGCAAAACCTTTATGCACAATAAAAACTCTTCAGGTTATTTTTTCAGTACACATTTATTTGTGTGATTTTAGAGTTTAAAGTTTTACATATTTTCAATAATGAGTGCCCTTCCAGAAAAAAAGATTGGAAACTAGAAAACTATTCTGGAAATATGATACTTAAAAAAAGGTTTGCTTTTCGGTTTGACTGTTTGTTTGTTTGCATTTATATCTGAGCACATTTTCATCATGACTGAAGCTGACACCAGACTCTGATTTGTGTTTTGACTCTCGTGTCTTGTTTTGGGGTGGATATAAACATACTTTTAATTGCAACCTCTGTTTTTTTTCTGTTACTTTCCTGTAGGCGTATGACTAAACCCATTTAAATGTTTTTTACAGTTTTCCTAATTTACTTCAATAAGTTATAAGATATGAGAAGCGTTTATTGATCCCCAGTGGGGAAATTCAAGAGAGTCATGCTGTTTTCCTCATCCTCTCTGTACCTTTAAGGGGAGCTGAGCTGTTCGAGGCCAAAGTGAAGAAGTTGGTCGCAGCGAGACTGGAGATGGAGAAGAAATCTGTGGAGACTTTGAAGAAACAGTAAGAAACATCAGTTACTAAAGAGCCAGTGTTACATATGTTAACAACATTCAAGTCAGTCATTCTGACTTTGAAAAATGCTAAACATAATCTCCCATTTAAATCTCCCATTTATAATCTATTAAGAATAGTACAAAAAATTAACTTGCCTTTACACCGGTTCCCTGAAGGATGGAGAAGATTAAATCTAAACAGAAAGGCCGACCTGCAGCAGCTGACAAACCAGCGCTTCCTGCTGCTGCTGAGCCAGTGACACCAGGTGACACTTTTTAAATATGTTCTGTTGCTTCTCTTAATAAACCAGCCGAGCATGAAAAGGAAGAGTTAATATTCTGACACAAAGTCTGATTGTATTTTTGTTGTTATTATTTCTAATTTATGAACAAAAACCGTACATCACATTTCATGAAATTTCTATTTCATGCCTGGACAAATGTCCTACACTAAGAAAACCTCTTAATCAATCTCCTGTCCATATTATCTGTCTATAGATTTGAGCTAAATTAAACTTTTTTATATTTTGTGTCAACATGGGGTGCTTGGTCCAGCTTTATAATGCATTGTTTTTTCAGTTATAGTGTTTTTAACTGTTTAGTCTTCATAATTAAAAGGGAAAAAAATCGGAAAATGTCTGGAGTTACTCATCAAATTGATTTGTATTTTCCAGGTGATGATGAGAAGGCAAAAGGAGATGCTGGAAAATGGTGGAAGCCTTGGGTGTCTAAGCCGGGAGGTCAGCCACAACAACAACAACAACAACAACACACAAGTGCTCTGCTCAGAGTGGTGCACAAGTAGTTAAAAAACAAAACAAAGTATTGCAATGACAAATTAATGAATTAAACATATAACCCCAGGTGTGTAATAAAATAATGATTTCAGCTCTCTGTCGGCCACACTTACAGCTGTACTGGAGCAGCTTTGAGTATGATGCCTTGCTTGCAAAGACAACAGTATGCAGTGATGTAGCTCTGACACACCTCTGTTTTATTGCAGTGGAAAACAACTGTGGCTACCACCTGTTTGAAAGTGACAGCGAGGAGGAAGAGGAGGAATCTCCCGAGAAGAAAGAAGAGGAACAACCACCAAAGAAGAAATCTGCTTTCCAGGTGAAAGCCAGAAAAACAACATCACCACCAACAACTAAAACTGATCAATATCTATACTGCTTTACATTCGTTTAAGGATCAAGGTTGCTCCTTAATAAGGGAAGAATAGCAGTTCAATAGTTGTACACCCAGTGTCTCTATAGTCTCATCAAAACAAGTATCTGTTGTTTGTTTTATATCCTAGTTGGCCTATGAAGCCTGGGCCACCAGCTCTAAGACGGCTCTAAAGGACCTGAAGAAGGAGAAGAAAAAAATGAAAAAAGAAGAGAAGAAGAAAGCGAAGAGAGAGCTTAGGAGACAGCAAGGTGAGAGAGCAACATAGGGTTTGTGGAACAGTGTTTAATCCCGCTCTTTTGTTGTTGTTGTCATCTTTGTTTAGGATATTTTTTCCATTCTATGGACTTAAAAGGTTAAGAGTCCTTAACCTTCACATCAGTCTGGCCTGTATTTGAGGAGACAGATTGGCCACTGTCAAAATAACAATTCAATGTTTTTTTTTTCCAGGCATTGAAAGAGCAGACTCAAGCGAGGATGAACTTGATGAGAGCACTGTGGAGGAGGAGGTGGTTGAGGAAAAAGGTAAACAAACCAAATCACTGCATTGGATTCTGCAACGTTTTGACATGTAAACATCTGAAAGGCAAACTTTCTCTGCAGAGAGACTTTCCACTTGTTGTTCTGTACCAGCAGCATCCAAAGTATTCATGAGAAATTCTTTCATGTCCTGACACTCACTTATTAACTTGTTCTCTCCCTACAGAAAATATTCTGCAGCGTGTCATCAACACCTTGAAGTTCACCTGGGTGTTCGTTCAGTCCCTTCTTGACGACCTGACGGAGGGTATGAACTCGTTCTGTAAAGACAGCCGGGAGATCTCCAAGGTGCTTTGTTTTGAGCGAGCGTTACTCAACCAGCAGCAAAAGAAGGTGAGCACAGGGCCGACTTAATCCACTGAAGACACGTCTCAGTGCAGGTCAACAGTAGTAGTCCAATAGTTTGTCTAATTATGTTGTTTTATATTGTTGGTTTTGTACCCCTTCTGTTTTCCTTTTTATTCTCACTCCCTTCGCTCTTCAGGGGAAAGAGGTGAGCCAGGAGAGCGTGAAGCAGTTTTATGAAAACTGGATCTCCCGTCAAAACACACTTTCATCTCAGGACGACTTAGATGACTCGTTGCCTCCTCCCTCCCCCCCGCCTGCTGTCCCGTCCTCAAACCTAGCTTACGCTAAGCTAAAGAACCAAGCCTCAAAAATGTCATGGGGCAGCAGCGTTTCCAGGTAGGTCACTGGACACTGAGGCAGTTTAAAGTTAGAACTACAAAAATATTGTTGACATAAGGCAAGGCAAGGCAAAGCAAGTTTATTTCTATAGCACATTTCAACAACAAGGCAATTCAAAGTGCTTCACACAAGACAAAAGCATCATGACAGAGGAAAGAAAAGAAACATTAAAATAGAACATTTCAAAATCACTGAAATTATTAAATTTGAAAATATGTTCAAATAAAATTCAAATTCAAAAAATTCAAATGAAATTAATTGAAATAAATTGAGTAAAAATATAAAAAGAGTTAAAAGTTACAGTGCAGAGTTAAAATAAATGACAGTATTACAGTACAAAACCAGTTTACAACACCAGGGGTCAGCATGTCCAAGCCCCTGAATTACAGTGATGACACTAATGCACATTTTTACCAACCCAGCCCCACATCAGTGGAATAATATGAGTGGATGGAGTTGCGTAATCATCTACACTTCCATAACACACTGTAAACTTCTCGGCTCCCCCTCCCCCCTCCTCTTGCTCATCTTCAGCTGTATGACAGACGAGACGATGCTTGGGTCCCGGCAGCCAACCCAGGAAGAGCTGGACGAGCCTCCTGCTGTGCCACCTGTTGCTGACCAGCTCAGACGGAGGCTCCTGAGAACGACCAACATTGACCTGACCTCTGCTGGACCCGATGAAACTTCTCCAAGGTGAGGCATAAATAATGGTTAAAACTCAAATTGTTTATGTTGGTTGTTGGATCAAATTCTGTCTTATTTATGGGTAGTAAGTGTGCTTAACTTTTCTGATTTCAAATGTCCCTTTTTGGACATGTGTAGATATTTTATGTGTTTTTAAAAACAATAGGTACTGCTTCTTGTATGTCCTTGATTTTTGAGGTTCAAATGTGTTTTTCTTAATCCTTGTCTGAAAAGCAGTGAAGATGGCTCCCCTGTAAGTGGAGACCATCGACAAAACGAAGATGATGAGGTGGACTCGGAGGGAGAGATGGAATGTGAGCTAGATCAAAAAGAGTCAGAGGAAAAGAAAGACCAGGAGGAGGATTATGAGATGGAGAGAGAAGAGCAGAACAAGCAAACAAAGCAGAGAGAAGAAGATGAACATGCTGATGACCAAGGATGCATGCCATTGGGCTTCAGGGAGAGTGATGGAGAGAAAAGCCTGGACCTCATAGAACCTCTTAAACCGCTGAGTCAGGAAACAAGGAACCTCACTGCCAGTGAGCTGCTGCTAAACAAGTAGGTAGACATGAGAAACGTATGACTCACAAGCAAGATTTAAATATTTCTTTTGCAATAGAGACAAGCTTCTCTTTGACCTTGTGACCTTGTAACCATTGACGTGTTTCTGTCTTTTCATCTCCTTCCCTTCCTTTCATAGCATGTTTGAAAATGATGAGATCTCAGGGTCTGATAAGTTTTTTGTCACACTGCCGAGGCCACTGAAGCTGCTGTTTGCCCTCTATAACACCATGGTGTCCAAGTCAGAAATGCTGTGCTACTTTGTCATCATCCTCAACCACATTGTGTCGGCGTCGCTCCTCTCCCTCATCCTGCCCATCCTCATCTTCCTCTGGGCCATGCTGTCTGTGCCCCGACCAACCAAACGCTTCTGGATGACCGCCATTATCTACACAGAGGTATTTATTACAACGCCCTGTTGTTTGATCAACACAATCTTCAAACATGGAGTTTTTAAATTGGTGTTAACACAAATTTGTGAACAAATAGAAAACAGGGAAGCTACCTACCTAACTGAACTCAACAACTGGGCCATCACACAAAATACAACCTCAATAGAACAGGACATTACACATCCATTAAACATCCACCTCACCCCACCTCCATCAGGATGGAGGTACAGAGCACTGAGGTGCAGAAGGGCTCGCCTCAGTAAAAGCCTGATCCCTGCTGTTATAGCCTCTGTGAACAAAACGTCTCACTGGACAGGCCAGAGTTGGAACTTTTCTTGATTGCTGTTTGACATTGTTTGTTTTACACACTGTGTTTTTGTCTATGTACTGTTGTTTTGGTTGGAATTGTCTGTTTGACAGAAATCAATCTGTGAAAAGGCATTTCTCCCTTGGGAACAATAAAGCCTAAAGTCTTAGGTTTTCTTTTTAATAGAATTACATTTCTCACTAAGGAATACTCAAAATGCTAATATTCAGTATTGCGGACAATCACTGTTAAATGAAATGTTTTCCTGTATAAAACTGTAACAAAGGGATAACTTTCAGCAACATTCAATCAATACATTTATTTAGCAGCGGATTTTGTTTTTGTGTTTATATTTAATTTATTTAAGATCCTTTTACTTTCTTTCTATGAGTAAAATTACACTGTAGTGCACGTATGTTTAGTAATAAACTGTCAATAAGATTGTGTCTAATAACTGATTGTAATTTATTTGCATACAGTTTAATACGGGAAAACAGATTTCATCAAAATTAAAAGTTAAAGAGTTTTCATTGCTTTTGTGGGTGGATGATCCAGAACTCTCTTTTCTCTTACTTCCAGTTGACTGTTGTGGTAAAGTACTTTTTCCAGTTTGGTTTCTTCCCATGGACCACCTCTGCCTATCGAGGCATCAACGCGGACAGGCCCTTCGCCCTGCCCAACATCATTGGTGTGGAGAAGAAAAATGGCTACGTCCTCTTTGACCTTATTCAGCTGCTCGCTCTTTTCTTTCACCGGTCTATTCTCAAGGTACTGTGTGAAAAACTCATCATTAAAATGAAGCTGTTGTTACAAATGTACTCTTCTGCTGCTATACAGTATGTCTTGTAGGTGACCCTCAGAATTACAATGAATCCACTTTTTGCATGTAAGAATTCTATTTGTGTCCATGACTGAACAGTGCCATGGGCTGTGGGACAACAAAGAGGTTGAGATGCCGGATTTTTTCAAGAAGATGAAAAGGAAAGTGGACAAGAAAAAGATGACAGGAGGAGATAAGATGGGCAGCAAAGATAAAACTCACCGCCGGCTTAAGTTCCTTCCACTACAGGCCTCCACAACCTCTATATTCTGTAGAGGGAGGAGAGGCGACTCAGCAGAATCCACAGGTAACTATTCAGAATTTTCATATTTTGGTTTTAAATCAGAACCAGTACTTTGAGTGAATCTACTGTGAGAGCTCCCCCCCCCCCCATTTCATATAGTTCATATATTCACCATGTACGACCATTCTCTATTTCATGTTTTATTTATTTACAGGAGAGGTGAAGCCTAAAAAGCAGCAGAGCAAGAAGAAGAGACGACAACGGCACAAGGCTCCGCTGACCAGGAAGCAGAGGATCAGACAACATATCAGAGAGAGGATGCTGCAGGCTAAAGCTGCCATCATAGAAGTGTGCGTTGAGTTCTTTTGGTCAACACGGGATGTCTTTTTACCTTAAATGTATAAATCATGTTTGTAAGAGTCTGTTTTTCTGATCACATGTTAAACATCCGGTAATATAATCTGACATCTGTAAATGGCATGCATCATGGTTTACTGTAGCTTACCCAGGATTACTGTCAGGGGATGTTTGGAGAGTGGCTTCCATTTTGCTCTTAGGTTTTGATTTGTTTCTGATGGTGAAATAAGAAACTGTTGTGCTAACCGTGAAAACCATTTTTTTTTCAAGATTTATTTTTGGGCTTTTCGTGCCTTTAATGCAGAGATAGGACAGTGGATAGAGTCAGAAATCAGGGAGAGAGAGTGGGGAATGACATGCGGGAAAGGAGCCACAGGTTGGATTCGAACCTGGGCCCCCTAACCATGAAAATTTGTTTGGGGAAAAAAAGAGAAAATATAGTCTCCTTTAGAGGGATTGTACTTACTTTTTGATATAAAGATAGATAGATAGATAGATAGATAAATAGATAGATAGATAAATAGATAAATAGATAGATAGATAGATAGATAGAGAGAGAGATAGATAATAGATAGATAGATAGATAGATAGATACTTTATTGATCCAGAGGGAAATTCAAAGCATCCAGTAGCAGGTTACAAAGACATACATGACATGAAACATTTCTTACAAATTAACCACAAAACCGATGCCCCCCTCCCATACATATATATTAACCCCCAAAAAAGATTTAAAGAATACCCCTAGATGGGGCGCGCTTGTGGTGCAGTGGTTAGGGCGCGCGTCCCATGTATTGAGACTCTCGTCTCAAGTGGTAGGCCCAGGTTCACTTCCACCCGTGACCTCTTTCCGCATGTCATTCCCCGCTCTCTCTCCCTGGTTTCCAACTCTATCCACTGTCCTATCTCTGCATTAAAGGCACGAAAAGCCCCAAAATAAATCTTATACTCCTAGATGAATCAAACTTAAACTGTGCAATTAAAAATAGACTTATACAAGAAATGTACATAACCCGTGCAGGGATAAAAATATATGTGTAATTTAAACAAGAACCTAAAAACAGTTGAGGAAAAAAATCTGTAATTAGACCTGAATATAAAATAGAGAAGTGTTGACCTTCTGAAGTTGAGGGGTAGGTAATTAGGTAGGTTAACAAAGCTAATGTGCAAAGAAGTTATCAAAGCATTTATCAGTATTGATTTAGAATTATATTTAATTAAGTCTGCAAATTTATGTGATTTTGCTCAGCATGATCAAAAGTTGGTATTGAGTTTCAGGGAACCATAGTGTTGTCTTATTTAAATGTACATGTTGTCTACCTGCTAAGTATAAAGGAGTGATTGTAATTTTGTATTACTACATTACCTTTTTTTTAGTGCCCTTCACATCTACCTACCCATAAGGCAGTTTTTCTACGACATCATCCACCCAGACTACAGTCCTGTGTGTGACGTCTACGCCCTCATGTTTCTCATTGATGTAGTCAACTTCATTGTCACCATATATGGATACTGGGCTTTTGGGGTAGGAGTCGACCTTTCCTCTCATCCAACCAAGAGTATCCCAACGTATCCCAAAAGTATTTTAAGAGCAGTATGTCACTATTTGGTTCTTCTTGTGCCTCTATGTAGAAATACTCTGCAGTAGCTGACATCACAGAGTCTCTGTCAGAGGACCAGGTTCCAGAGGCCTTCCTGGTCATGCTGCTCATGCAGTTTGGCACCATGATAGTGGATCGGGCCCTCTATCTGAAGAAGTCTCTGTTGGGAAAGTGTGTTTTCCAGGTGGTGTTGGTGTTTGGCATACACTTCTGGATGTTCTTCATCCTCCCCGGGGTCACAGAGAGGTCAATAACTGTATTTTTTGTTAACTTTGGAAACTAAACCCACACTTACTGATCTTATGAAAATTATATATTTGTGAATACAGTATGTCAAGCCTCCATCATATCTTCTTTTTTTGCTTCACAGGAGGTTCAACAGCAACCCTATTGCTCAGCTCTGGTACTTTGTAAAGTGTATCTACTTCGGCCTGTCTGCCTATTACTGATCTTATGAAAATTATATATTTGTGAATACAGTATGTCAAGCCTCCATCATATCTTCTTTTTTTGCTTCACAGGAGGTTCAACAGCAACCCTATTGCTCAGCTCTGGTACTTTGTAAAGTGTATCTACTTCGGCCTGTCTGCCTATCAAATCAAATGTGGGTACCCAAACCGCATCCTGGGCAACTTCCTCACCAAGAACTACAACTACCTGAACCTTTTCCTCTTCCAAGGGTAAGAGAACTGTTACTGGGGCCACTGACATGGTGGAGCGATTGTAACTGCATTATACAATGACTTTTTAAACACTAAAACCTTCAGGTTTCGTATGGTTCCCTTCCTGACAGAGTTGAGGGCGGTGATGGATTGGGTTTGGACTGACACTACTCTATCTCTCTCCAGTTGGATTTGTGTTGAAGACATCTATGCAAACATATTTATCCTTAAGTGCTGGAGGACGTCTGAAGAAGTAATTGAGAGCATGTACTTCATGATATTCTTACTGCATAGGATCAGCACTGTTGAGTCACACACACGCAAAGTTAGGTTTAGATTATATGAACTGTCCAGAAAATACACAATCCTCTCCCTCATATTGCCTTTACTGTAAGGAATCTTGAACTTTTTTTGGATTTTTCATTAGCTGAAAAAACAAAAGTAGTTAACATATTATTTTTCCCCCCTCCAGAAATACCCCCATACTCCAGGACAGAAGAAGAAGAAGGTGGTGAAATATGGGATGGGAGGATTCATCATCTTTGCCCTGATCAGCATCATCTGGTTTCCACTTCTTTTCATGTCACTGGTACAGTCAGCAGCTGGAGTGACCAATCAGCCGGTAGACGTCTCCATTCAGCTCAGCATCGCAGGATATGAGGTCAGGGAGGAGCGGATAAGTAAAAGATTCTTGCTTTGAAAATTGGAAGAAGGTTTTTTGTTTGAAGAATTCATATGTAGCCTCTAATGGAATAAGATCAACCGTTTTGTCAGACGAGCACTTCTTGGAGGCTTTTCTTAACAGCAGCTGTGCTTGACTGCTGATATCAAGATGCTAACACTATTAATGACAAAAACACATTTTTAATGGAGACAGTCAAAAGTGTAGCCTGTTAGCATGCTAGAATTTGCTATTAACACTGACTACAAGGAACAGCTGAGGCTGACGATAATGCATTTTGGTTAGCAATTTTCACACGATGATGATGATGACAGATGAGGTTGTGCATGTTGGGTTTTTTTTTTTACTAATGAATGTGTCTGGTTGTATTTTCACAGCCTCTATTCACAATGAGCGCCCAGGAGCACAACTTAGTCCCTTATTTAGAAAAGGATTTCAACAAACTCACCAACAAATATGCAACCCACAAGGTAAGAGGCACTACACTTTATTCATTTAAACTGTAAAATCCAAACCGAGATCACATACAGAACCATCCAGCAACAAAAAAACACAATCATTCTAGTAGGATTGCGACTGTATAGACGACTTCATTTGTGGAAATATTTATTGAAGTAATTCCAGAAATCCATGCACTGTATCTATCTCTCTCTCCCAGTCTGCTATGCAGTTCATAATGAACTATGTGGCAGACGACATTGTTACCGCTAAGATCAAGAGTGATGCCAGTCTGCTGTGGAGCATCAGCCCGGCCAGTCGAGAGGCCATGATACAGGAGCTCAACAACTCCTCCCATATATACATAACCTTACGCTGGATCTTGCTCAGGTCAGCGTTTGAGTGTTTTGTATTTTATAATGTAGAAGCACAAGTGCAGATTCATGTTGATACACTTTTATGATTCCTGTGCTGTGTGTTCTTATACCTGTTATTCTGCTTTGTATTACACTTCTTTACTGATTATCGTATATGTGTGTGTATATATGTTATGTATGTTTTTCAGAACTTTTTAAGCATACTCATAAAGCCACTCTTTTTTTTTTTTTACCTAAACACTGAACAAAATGTACGCTCCTCTCGTGTCCATGTCAGGAATGCGTCCATATCAATGAATGCAGAGAGTGTGGGAGAACACACTGTGAAGTTTGAGGACAAGGCCTTAAAGGATGGAATAGTCCATATGCTCAAAGGCAACAGCAGCAAACCTGTGTGAGTGTCATTCAACAAACTCAATCAGGTTTTTCCTGTGTTACACTTTTACTGATGGTCTTTTCCAGCGTCTGAAAATCAGTTGGCTCGGTTACTTGAGATGTTAAATGAAGGCGTATGCTAAAATAAATTGATACCTTAAAATCTTTAATTAAAGACAGACTATCTGAGCTAACATGCTGCTTCTTATCAACTATTTCTCAACACTCACACCACCCAGGCATTCTTGTGCAACTCTGCAAGTATTTTGACATCGGAGTCATTTCCATCAGACTTAGACTAAAGGTGTGTGATTCTGTCCTATAGGATCATTCATTCTCTGCTGCCAAAATACATCAGGGGTCCCAAAGGAACAGTGTCTAAGATGGCAACCAGGATGACTGTCGGTAAGTCACAGTTTATTGTATATTGAACGTAACACAGATCTGTGTGGATTAAAGTTGTCCATCCACCCGTCAGTCCCATCATTGTGAATGCAATATTAAAGGACTACATTAATATTTAAATATGGCAACACCTTTAATTGGACTCGTGGGTGAAATATAAAGGCTTTATATGTGATTTTTTTGATGTCGCCCTTGAGCACCAGCATAAAACCAAAACAACTTGCGCTGCATTGTTGTGTTAGCGTGCTAATGCTAGCTATCTTTATTATGCTCGTATCTTCACACTGCATGTAAATTTACCTGAAATGAGTGTGATCTAGAAACACAGTTAAGCAGTGAGTACAGTATGTTATTCTTCTTTTCTCTAGTTCCTCAATTAAACAACCTTTACACGCGAGGAGGAGTCAGCCGGCCGTCCGGCGATGTAAACAAACTGAAGATAGAACTCTGAAAACTCTGAAAACATCACAGACAGTCATGACTCACAGAGTTATTTTCAGAGGATATACTTGATTTCTATTACATTTAAGTGTGAAAAATCACATAGAAAGCCTTTAAATATTGGGGCGCGCTGGTGGTGCAGTGGTTAGGGCACGCTTCACATGTGTTGAGACTCTCATCTCAAGCAGTAGACCCAGGTTCACTTCCACCCATGGCCCCTTTCCGCATGTCATTCCCCACTCTCTCTCCTTGGTTTCCAACTCTATCCACTGTCCTATCTCTGCATTGAAGGCATGAAAAAGCCCAAAATAAATCTTAAAAAAAAAAAAGCCTTTAAATATTGATGGTCAAAGGTTAAAGGTCACTGTCTACTTACAATCACATGCTCTGTAGAGGGACACAAAGAGAGAGGCTGTATTCAGCAGCACCCCATTATACTCATGTTTCTTCATTCTTGTGCCCGCTCATACTTGTCTTTTATACTCATGTCCTTTCTTGCTTTTGTTTTCTTGATATTGTTTTCTTGACTCTGTAGCACTTTTAGATTTAGGTTACTAATAAAAAGTATTATTATTATTATTAAATATGTGTTAATTTGACATTCCCTGTGAAATACTAGTGCTCTGTGTGCCTTTGAATTGACCCCCAGGGACAAATAAAGCATTTTTGAATTGTATTGAATACTTGGCCTTGTGGTTGACTGGCAAGCAGTCCAGGGTGTGCCCCACCTCTCACCCAATGACAGCTGGAATTGGATCCAGTCCCCACGACCCTGAAAAGGAGAAGCGGTATAGATGATTGATGGATAGATGTGAAATACTTACCAAGGCAAACTTCCACTTAACTGGTTGACATGACTGACAACTGCTATTCTGTACTTCTAGTTCTTTTACAGCTTATATCTGCATTGTACTAATATTCAAAGAAATGTATCTTGGCTATGAGGTATTTTTCATACAATAGAATGTCATTTGTAGGTGATTTTTAAGTAATTAAATCCCAAAAAGTCTTTCTGACCTCATCTGTTTTCTTTGGGCATAATCAGGCCTTTTCTGTGGACAAGCCATCAGCTGATCAGAGTGATTTATCCTTGATCTTCTTTGTCCTCCCCAAGATCCTTCAGTCCAGCCGCTGGCATTCTTCAGGCCCATGTCTGTAAAACTTCAACCAGTCCCTGGGACTTCAGAGAAAGAGGACGACCAGTGGTGGGTGGTGGAGGAGTGCTCTCCGGTTGTTGCCTCAGGTCACAAATGTGGAGAAATTGAGATAATCATATTCAGTGATAAAGTCAGCCCTTCAAGTCTGGGATTCCTAGCTGGACACGGGTACGTATCATGTAATTTGACCTTGATTGTGTAAGAAAAATATTCCTATTATTTTGGTCTTGTCTGGTTCTTTCCTTTCAACCAAGCCTCACTTTCTTTTTTTACTTTCAAAGCGACTTTAAACATTTAGGCTGCTATATTTTTACTGACCTTTGAAGGTACTTTGCCTGCTGTTTCTCAGCCAAATAGTTTGCAGGAACTGGAGGTTAGATTTCAAACTAACAAACACAGCATCTCTCACCCAATATTACCTATTAGGGAAGGAAGATGCACTTCTAACCTGTTGAGGATTTTTTCATATGAGACAGCTGAATTCAGCTGTTTTGTGTGTGAAATACTGTTCTGACTCGAGCGCTCTCTCTCTTGTAATTTCTCACTAAATTCCCTTTAACAATTTTTCAAATACTCTTTTTTTTCCACTGAAGACATGCTGATATATTCTCTGCCTGTTCTCTTTGCTGCAGAATCGTTGGTCTGTACATGTCAGTGGTGCTGGTCATTGGAAAGTTTGTCCGGGAGTTCTTCAATGGGATCTCCAGGTCCATCATGTTTGAGGAGCTGCCGTGTGTGGACCGGGTTCTCAAACTCTGCACAGACATTTTCGTTGTTCGGGAAACAGGAGAGATGGAGCTTGAGGAGACGCTGTTTGAGAAACTCATCTTCCTGTACCGATCCCCAGAGACCATGATCAAGATGACCAGAGAGAAGAAGGACAGTTGAAGGGGTTTGATGGATATCCCACATAACAGGATACTCACCGTGATTCGCATTGAACTCTCTTCACAAAGATTGGATAGATATAAGCAGATAAAATGTCTTTTCACTAAGTAGGAGTTTTATTGCAACTCGAGTGAAGTTAAAAAAGATCTTTGTGGCAGAAGGTGCAGCAGGGAGAACTTGTAATTCATGATCCATTTTTGATTAAGAGCTCTACAGAGGTGCCACTGAGCAAGATCCCCCTCTCTTACCCTGCCATGTTTTGATCTCTGACCTTGACCATAGAAAACGTTTTCACATCTACAGCAGATCAGTGCAAAGATAGATCAATGGGGTTTTCATTCTAAGAAAATAAATCTGGGTCTGATTAGAGATTCAACTTGTTCAGGGAAGGACTACTTACAGGCAAACTATGTGAATATGAATGTTACAGTGATCTGGAAGGCAGTAAAACACAACAATTAACTTTAGCTTCTTGGATAGCGTCACAGCCAGTTATTTGCTTATTCATTTCATGTTCAGCCCACCGATCAGTGCATGCTTTATTATTTTATATTCAGTTTTTCATAGAGAGTCCTACTCCCTGATTCTAACAGGAATAATGACATTTCAACTAATGATATTCTGATGGATCAATGCATCTGTAAATATTATGTTTCTGTAAATGACTATGTAGACTAATGGACTGATTTATTTATACCAAAATAAAAATTGTTCCAGACAAGGTTTAAATGACTTATTTTGCATAGCTGAAAATATTATATTCACCATCAAGGTAAGAACACAAGGCAACAAAATGTATTTCCGATATTCATCTTTAATACAATTTTCTTTACAAATTTAAGGGGGAAAACAGCAATTTCATCATTGAGGTCCCCCCAGACTTTAACATATTATATTGATGTTATCCATCTTGTTTTCTTCTCCATGGTTAGCAGGACAGGAGAGTGACAGGACCTCACAACTCAGGGAAACATTATCTACATCACGATCTCAAATCCTGGAAAAAACAAACAAGACAGAAATATTACTGAATAATATATAACTGTATGAAAGCTTCCCTATCAGTAACAAATGATATTTAACACAAGGGACTGTTTTTATGGTGGGTTTATGAAGAAAGTATAGGGATGGAAAAATTGGTTTCTAGCCGTACAACTTCCACACGACCTCTGTCTGTGTTGTAATCATCCCAAAAAGAAACTTCAGGCAGCTGGTGCACTTTGTTTAGAGTTATTGACTTAGACAATCTAGGGAGAAGACTGTTATTTTTCACTTTTAATAAAAATATTGAATGATTGCCCTTGTCTCTAAAGAGCAGGGGGAGGTGACTAGTACGCACCAATGACTGCTCAATGAGTGTTTAGAGGCTTAAAACAAAACTTTACAATCCACTTAATATTCTAAATAAATATATTACCATCACCAACATCTAATGCACATCACCACGTTATGATGGATAACTTTTGTATATGAAACGGTGTGTGATAAATTAGCCATAGCTTCAGAAGATTCACGATAACTCTTAACAAATGCAGTATAATGGCCCTGTGGGTAGAGCAATGCAGCATTGTAAGTACACTTTTGATACTGTACTACATGTTGCCTTATACTAAGTCTAATGTATTTTATTTTAACATACAGGGAAATCGTAATTGTGAGGTAACATTTCACAATACTGTTGCTGAATAAATGACACCCTCCACATTGACAACACTCAATGTCACCCCCCCCCCCCACTGCACAGACTGTCAAAGTCTGTTCTATGCGTACATGATGAAGAGTCTTTCTCTTGACTTCACAACACATGATATTTGGTTAACTTACATGCAGCTATTTTTTCGGTTTGAGGACTTTGACGTTGGCTTCTGCGGCCTTCACAGCCTCGGCTCTGACCTGCGGTTTCATTGCAGCTCGCACCGCGCTTGCGCAGATAGATGAGAAGCGGATGTAGCTGCAGATAGGAGACACACTTGTTAGCCGCATGCTAAAGGACAAGCTAGGTTGACACTAATATGTCTGTATGAGAAAGAACACTTGCTGGTTTAAGAACAAGTAACACGTCTGATGCATTTACAAAGAGTAACTATTACTGTTAGCTAACGTTAGGGCTGAACGTTTAAAAAAATGGTAGTAATGCTAATGAAAGCTAAGCATCTCGCTGAGTGATAGGTTAAATATGATATGAGACAGGATAAGGCTAAAGTATTATGTTTTGAATAAGAATCTTTATTAAAAGTGACATATCACGCTGACAACAAAACAAGCATTTTAAATATACATGTTTAAATCATTTACCTTAAGCCTGCCTGTCTCCAGTATGCGACCATCTTGTCTGCTTTGTGGCTTCAAGGACAGATGGGTTGTGCTTCCTCTTCTTCTTCTGTAGTTTATTTACGGGATACACACATACTCACATCTTTACTGCCCTCCTCCGGAATAAATGGGCATAGACCAAGTCAAATTTGCATATGGTGACATCTATGGTGACATCCTATGGGTGACATCATGTGAAATACGTCGGTCTTTGGACTTTATTTTAATTATAGGAGTTTATGGTCTTTCCCCTTGACAAGAAAACGGTGCTTGATCATGATGATCTCTGACATTACCCTCCTGAACATCCCTAACTGTTTAATCTCGATGACAGAGAGGCTAACTAACTGTTTAAACTTTGACATGTAAAAAAAACTGACTGTAACATTTAACCGTATCCACATTTCGATGGTGGTTCATCAACTATTGCTTATATGCAAAACTAATCATTAGCAGCTAAATTAATTAAAATTTTAAAGTAAAGAGTAACGTTAATGTGCTTACAAGAATTTCCTCATTAACAACGAAAACATCACTTGGCCTAAACGAAATTCACTATTGTAGGTTTAAAATGGGAAAACTATAAATAACTAACATTTGTTGTGCTGGATAAGATTGATCTTAAGACTTGTAAGATCTGTGAGTAGAAATCGTACAGTCTATGGTAGAAATCATCGACTATATGTTTCTGCCACCAGGGGGGGGGTCTCACTGTTTGGGTATCCCTCCTGGTCCCTCCGGTGACTGCTCCCTCCCTCCTTCCTCACGTCGGTCACGCTGTCAGAAGTCGCCGGCTCCCGAGCACTGACAGAAAAGCCTAATAAAATGAAGATCTGGGCGTCAGAGCACATTTTTAAGTGAGTATATATCTGTCGTGATGTTTTGAATAAATATACCTGTAGTCACAGGTTTCCAATGGTACAGTTACCATTCTGTACTCGGCACAGCTGCTAGCCTCCTGCTAGCCGCTATGTGAAGGTTGCCTTTAAGTTAGGTAACTTTACAGCCTACGGCTATATTTTCCAACCTTAGCCTATGTAGTTAGTCTTATTAGGTGTTAACTCATATCGCGATTGTGTTATTTTTTCACACAGATTGTCTTATTAAATTTGCCGTTCTTTGTGTATTAGCAGTAAACTGCTCAAGTTAGCCGAGGTAACTCAAAGGTTAGCTTGTTAGCTTGTTAGCTTATGGGCTAAACTTAGCGTTTGGATGCCGTAACACTTTTGCATTTTCTCGTGTGTCAATTTCTATTTTACCTTGTTACAGCACTTGTAACAGCTTACTCACTATTTAATATGAGCTGTAAGAATGAATGTGCTGTTACTTGTCTTAAAACAAATATAAATATAAACCCTATGTAACATTATGTAACAGCCTGTCTGACTGTTGGACGTTAAAGACATCACAGTGAAGCTATTTGTTTTTCCTCTATTTCTAAGTCATCTGTGCCCGCTTGAAGCGTGTAAGTGTCAAACACGGGTACATTGTGTCCATGGCCAGAAGTTTCTAGATAAATCCATGATGAGGGTGATTGTTTGTTTCCTCCTCCTCCTCTCAGTAACAGTCCAGGCAGATTTTGGTTATTCCTCCATTTTGAGTCTACAAACATGTTTTATTTTGACAGGCTTACATTTAAACTAAGAATTGTTTAGTAAAAAAAATGTAACAATGTATAGCAATGTATAACAATGTATTCTTTAATTTAAAATAAAATCTGTCAAACAACATATGAGATGACACATTTGATGCCGACTAAGATATACTGCTTTTACAAGGATATAACAAACTATTACCACCCAAATAATAGTTTATTGCCTTTAAACTATTTTTACTGCTGCTGTGTGTCAATCCTTTTTCTTATTGGTTTGACCTTGCATACAAAGCCTACATACCGTAAGAATAAAAACTGCAAGGACACAATCAGTGAATTATTATTTGACCTTTATTGGTTTTGTTTTATCTTGTCACAAAACTCATCTTTTATTTTAAGTATTAAAATCACTTTCTCATCGTATTTATGTGAATGTTTGCTAATGGCTGTTTTCACCTGGAGCCCCCTGACAGAAGTTTAACTAACCTTACTGTTGTTTTTAACAGCCATCCATGGGAGACGGTGACCAATGCAGCGATGCAGAAATACCCCAACCCAATGAACCCCGGTGTGTTTGGTGTGGATGTTCTGGACAGAAGCGTTGACACACAGGGGCGGTTACACAGCACCAGACTACTCAGCACAGAGTGGGGGCTCCCCGCTATGGCCAAGTCTGTAAGTTCCATGCCGGGTGAAGCACTTACGCTGCAGGGCCCTTAAAGTTAGGCTTGTTATAGACATAAGTGATTATATGTATTTAATTTAATTTCAAACCTTTATTTATTCTACAAAACATCAAGGTTTAATGTCATAGTCAATGCCGGCGAGATTACAAGCACACAAAAAACAACAAACACGTATAAACACAGCGGCTGTGCCTCAGTGGTAGAGTCGATCGTCTCTCAACCAGAAGGTCAGGGGTTTGATCCTCAGCCCCAGCAGCTACATGTCCAATGTGTCCTCGGGGAAGACACTTAACCCCAAATTACTCCCGCTGCTTCGTCTGTGTCGTTTTACTGTGAAGGATTTGTAAATACTGACGGACACTTTACATAGCAGCCTCTGCCATCAGTGTGTGAACGAGTAGGGGACTTTGAGTAGTCACAAGACTAGAAAAGCAATAAAGAGACTCAAGTCCATTTACCATACAATAACAAAAAGCAGCCTTTACGGTACAGGAAGTCACACAAGTGTCAGATCTGATCTTAAATATTATTAGACAAATATATTGCTGCTCTTCTAACAGGTCGTTTTTTTGTATAATGATATGTCGGCTATATTTGATCATCATGAAAGTGGGCATGGTTTCACCTCCTCATCACTAAATTATTTGACATTAACATTTGGATTGGCTGGAATTATCATGTAAAGAAGCCATAATATCAGTTTGCCACTGTTTTTAAATTAGACTTTATCGTTGGACTTGTACTTCTCGAACTCTAGAAATTCAGAACATGAATCAGAACTGAAGATACAGAGGGAGAAATACAAGCTATGGGCCGTCTCCTGCCCAGGGACTACAGATATGTATTAGCTCATAGCTAACTCTTGTATAGCTAAGCGGCTGTAAACTGTCCCTGTCAAAATTAACAAATAAATATTTTTTCATAATTTCTTCATCTAGTATTTAGATTGCCAGGGCTTAGCATAATATATTTATATGTTGTAGTAAATCATGATTTTCTGTAACTGTTTTGTGCTGTTAATGATAAAAATAAACAAGCTGCTTTGAAGTTTAGCTTAGCCTGTTTTT